TGGGGATTTTATAACGAAATTCGGGGATTTTATAAAGAAATTTGGGGATTTTATAAAGAAATTTGGGGATTTTATAACGAAATTCGGGGATTTTATAACGAAATTTGGGGGAAATTCAGAGCCAAATTGGGCTGAAACTCTGGGAAATTGGGGATGAACTGGAAATGGCAAAGGTTGAGTTGGACACAGAGCAGGACCCAAAATCCACTGGAAAAAATGGGGAAAAAATGGGAATTTCCGTGAAATTTGGGGAATTTTGGTGAAATTCGGGCATTTTACACAGAATTTTGGGGGTTTTGTACAAAAATTTGGGGGAAATTGGGATTTAAGCTGGGCTTAAACCCTGGGAAATTGAGGTTGAGCCGGACACGGAGCAGGACCCAAAATCCACTGGGAAAAAAAAATGGGAATTTAGGAGTGAAATGATGGAATTTTCAATTTTTTTTTACTGAAATTTGAGGGTTTTGTGGGAATTTTTTGGGGGGGTCTGCATTGAAATGTGGGGATTTTTATGGGAATTTCACTCTGGAATTCGAGAGGGTTTTAGTGAAATTTGGATTTTATGGGAATTTGGGGAGGTTTAGTGCTGGAATTTGGGAGGTTTTTTTAGTGGAATTTGTGAATTTTTTTTAGTGGAATTTGTGAAATTTTTTTAGTGGAATTTGTGGGGTTTCTGAGAAATTTTTGGTGGAATTTGGAGATTTTATGGGAATTTTGCATCGAAATTTGGGGGTTTTGGGGTGAAATTTGGGAATTTTGCACTGAAATTCAGGGATTTTTTTTTTTTTTTTCCCCCAGGGATTTTATGGGAATTTTGGGAGGAAATTTGGACTTAAATGGAAGCAAAAATGGGCTTGGTCTGGACTAAAGTTGGAATTAAATCAGGGTGAAGTTAAAATTAATTCTGGAGTTAAATTCAACCCCAGCCCCAAGGTGACCCCGGACTAAAATTAAACCAGGCTCAAATTAAATTAAAGGGGCAGGAAATGGAACTGAGGTGGAATTAAAAAGATTTAATTAATTCAAATTTAATGGCTGGAATTAAAAGTATTGAATTAATTCAAGTTAAAGTGGGCTGGAATTAAAATTATTGAATTAATTCGAGTTCAACTGGGCTGGAATTAATTTTTTTTTAATTAATTGAAGTTAATCAAGGCTGGAATTAAAGTTATTTTGGGGGTGGCTCCAGGTTTTCCATGATTATTTTGGGGAGTTTTCCACATTTTCCATGATTTTGGGATTTTTTTCCCCCACATTTTCCATCTTTTTTTGGGGTTTTTTTTTCCTCACATTTCCCATAATTTTGGGATTTTTTTCCCCACATTTTCCATAATTTTGGG